GTTCAAGGTATACAAGGAGGTGAATGACATGAAATGATATAAAGTATTTTGAAATGTACGTCCTTTGTTTGTCCTATTTCTGTCATTTATTTATTTGTTTTTAACGCCGCACTCTGCAATATTCAAACTATATCCCAGTGGCCTGAAAATAATCGAGTCTGGGTCAGACAATCCAGTGACATCATGAGCATGGATCCATGCAACTGAAATGCGATAACATACCATCAACCCAGTAACGGAGCCTGACCACAGGATCATTTAGTGGCTTCTTGCTACAATCATCGGCTGCCGAGGACCTGTTTTCTTACCTTGAATCCGCAGCTGAACGTGTATGTTCATATATAGACTAAGTAAAAACACAGACATGTTGTGACACGAGAGAATGAGTACTGTTTCACCTTGCAAGCAGAAGTACTGTTTTTAAAGAGGGGATACAAGTCAATACGGACCACGTTATTTGGTTCCCCATTTTTTTAAATGGGGGATACAAGTCAATACGGACCACGTTATTTGGTACCCCATGTTTTTAAATTGGGGATACAAGTTAATACGGACCAAGTAATTTGGTACCCCCTTGTTTTTAAATGGGGGATACAAGTCAATACGGACCACGTTATTTGGTACCCCCTTGTTTTTAAATGGAGGATACAAGTCAATACGGACCAGGCATTTTGGTACTCCATTGTTTTCAAATGGGGATATCAGTCAATACGGACCACGTTATTTGGTACCCCCTTGTTCTTAAATGGGGGATACAAATCAATACGGACCAGGTAATTTGTTACCCCATGTTTTAAAATGGAGGATACAAGTCAATGCGGACCAGGCAATTTGGTACCTCCTTGTTTTTAAATGGGGGATACAAGTCAATACGGACCATGCATTTTGGTACCCCCTTGTTTTTAAATGGGGGATACAAGTCAATATGGACCAGGCAATTTGGCAGCCCCTTGTTTTTAAATGGGGGATACAAGTCAATACGGACCAGGCAAGTTGGTACCCCTTGTTTTAAAATGAGGGATACAAGTCAATACGGACCAAGTAATTTGGTACCCCCTTGTTTTTAAATCGGGGATACAAGTCAATACGGACCAGGCAATTTGGCAGCCCCTTGTTTTTAAATGGGGGATACAAGTCAATACGGACCATGCATTTTGGTACCCCCTTGTTTTTAAATGGGGGATACAAGTCAATACGGACCAAGTAATTTGGTACCCCCTTGTTTTTAAATGGGGGGATACAAGTCAATACGGACCAGGCAAGTTGGTACCCCTTGTTTTAAAATGGGGGATACAAGTCAATACGGACCAAGTAATTTGGTACCCCCTTGTTTTTAAATGGGGGATACAAGTCAATACGGACCAGACAGTTTGGTACCCCTTGTTTTTAAATGGAGGATACAAGTCAATGCGGACCAGGTAATTTGGTACCTCCTTGTTTTTAAATTGGGGATACAAGTCAATACGGACCAGGCATTTTGGTACCCCCTTGTTTTTAAATGGGGGATACAAGTCAACACGGACCAGGTAATTTGGTACCTCCTTGTTTTTAAATTCGGGATACAAGTCAATACGGACCAGGCATTTTGGTACCCCCTTGTTTTTAAATTGGGGATACAAGTCAACACGGACCAGGTAATTTGGTACCTCCTTGTTTTTAAATTGGGGATACAAGTCAATACGGACCACGTTATTTGGTACCCCTTGTTTTTAAATGGGGGATACAAGTCAACACGGACCAGGCAAGTTGGTACCCCTTGTTTTAAAATGGGGGATACAAGTCAATACGGACCACGTTATTTGGTACCCAATGCTTTTAATTTGGGGATACAAGTCAACACGGACCAGGCAAGTTGGTACCCCTTGTTTTAAAATGGGGGATACAAGTCAATACGGACCAAATAATTTGGTACCCCCTTGTTTTTAAATGGGGGATACAAGTCAATACGGACCAGGCAAGTTGGTACCCATTGTTTTAAAATGGGGGATACAAGTCAATACGGACCAAGAAAAACATTCTTGGCTGTCAAATGTACAATATAATACCTTTTTAAGTCAGCTGGGATAACGCCACTTTGTCAGTTATATCACGGTATGTCAACTTAATGTGAACGGAACGACCGCGCGTTTTACACAAGTATAGTTTTCTTCGTGTTTGGGAACAAATGGAAGTCTGACGGAGCCAGGTCAGGAAAATAAAGTGGGAGTTCAAAGCACGTGGACTGTAACCATGGCAATGACTGATTTGTGCACTGGCAGCTCGTCCTGATGGAACAGCACGCCTTTTTCACCTTACCGCGTCTCTTAGTTTTAATACCACCCCGTAATTGCCTCAAATGTGCAGCACATTGTCTGGCATTTTGGAAGCTATTCCACCATGGTGACACCCTCAGCAACCCAGACACGTGATGTTACCTTTATAGCTGATGGGACAGTCTCTGCCTTCTTTGGTGGTGGTTTGTTTGTTTGTTGTTTAACGCCGCACTCAGCAATATTCCAGCTATATGACCGCGGTCTGTAAATAATCGAGTCTGGACCAGATAATCCAGTGATTGACATCATGAGCATTGATCCATGCAATTGGGATACAATGACAGGGATCAACAAAGTCAGCGAGCCTGACCACCCGATCCCGTTAGTCGCCTTTTACGGCAAGCATGGGTTGCTGAAGACCTATTCTACCCCGGATCTTCACGGGCCTCTTTGGTTGTGGTGATGATGTCCAATGCTGTTTGACTGCTGTGTGGACCTGGGTGGTGAACCCGGGTTTCATTAATAGTCACGAATCGTTGCAAGAACCTTTCTGGGTCAGCTTCAAAAAGTTAGATTATCACGAGACATGTCGTGCCTGATGTGTTTTTGATCAGATATCATAATCCTGCGCACTGTTTGTCAACAAGACAGTAGATCTTAGCGGGGTGAACGTGTAGCTCTCTCGCTACTCGTGTTTCCGTCATACAAACTTCAATCATTCCCAATATTGGATGATGATTGTTTATGCCTAATCCGGGCATGGTGCATTCTCTTTTCAAAGAACTTCCGGACGTTTGTAGCCACGCTTTGCTTGTATATTACCTTCAACAACCATCAGTCAGTGGTGCACATGAAAAACGTGCATGTGCTCAGAAAGACGTTCTGGCTCGTCTGCCTCATGGCTAAGTGTATGTGTTCAGTGTTTGAATCCCAAAACGATGGGTGGAACGTTTCTAGACATACAATGCTATCAATGTATGTCTTTTGTTGTTAAAATAAATAACAGTCGTTGGAAATCACTGAGAGATGGGAATCTGGAATCTGGAAGTTCCATCATGAGATGTGCGTCTATTTTGGAACTTATTAAGTTGACTCATCTGCACGTAAGATGTCACAAAATCCAGTCTAGCAAATATTTCGTTAATATACAATATTCCAGTTATTTCATAGCGTGTCAGCTTAATGTGGGAAGAAAGCCCAAAGTGATGCAGTTCTCAGTGGTTTCCCACCTTGGTGAAACCCACAAGCACAGGTATGGTGTTGACAAATCTAGGAATGTGGGGTGTGTGTGGAAGTGTGGGTTAGTTACCGGGATTCGAAACCACAATCATAGGTTTGTCAGGTATTGTACAGAGTAGAGTTAGTCTTTGCAAGAATCACTCTGACTTAAGTTAATAGATAATAATGTGCCAACTAAAGCAGTGTTATTATATCATCTTCAGTTATTTGTGTATGCTTCCAGTAAAACCTTAGCTTTAGTTGTCAGGAAATATTTGATAAAACGAGATGTCAGGATCCATTTTCCATCGAAGCTAAATCTTGGCTTCGCAGCAGCGCTATTACCATATAAACATAATATAAATGTCAGTAGTGTATTCCCGAATAAATAAATTGCAAGTGATTCCGTGACATTTGATTGGCTAAACAAGCAGTTGGTTTTGCGTTTGTTTCCATAAATCCACCCCAAGTCAGACCATGCCAACTAATGGCCTAGTTTCCCAAATGGCTGATAATGGCATGGGCGGGTCTTGCATTGCAAAAATAATGCAATTGATTGTAGATTTTTCGGTTCATTCTAGGATTGACTGTGTATTTTTGTCGGTTCATTGAGGTCTGAATCGCTACGCGGATTCTTACAAAAGTTTGCACATCGGGCTTTTCGATTCAGACCTCAATACAGAGTCAATCTTTATAATTATTTCGACAACGACAACATGTGTCATCTACAACAGTTTAACCAAAAACAGTTGTATATATCAAAGCAGACAAAAATGAGCCAAATTGATAAACATTCCAGGTGTAGGAATACATACTGTGGCGTGACATAATTCAGGTGATTGTTTAATTTATGCACATAATTTGACACGCCCACAAAGTAGCCAATCAACTGAGAGTAGTTCGTAGGACCTGTCAATCGTGGCTGTTTCAAATGACATGGTCAGTTTCCGCCAGATTCAAACATTAGTTGCTTGAGAATGGGAAGAAATGAAACCCGAAGACATGAAATTTGAGGAACCCAGGCAAGCGGAAAAAAACCAGGCCAGTCATCCTGCACGTTTGCTGTTTCATTCCTTCTCGGCCTTCGGTTTCAATGGGTAGTTTGTCAATGAATATGCGTGAATTGCGCTAATGTCCTGTGCATGACAATACAGGTGAGCATAAGGGAATTCCCTCGACTGTAACATTGGGATTCCCTGACATTCCGTAGTAATAAAAGTAGTCCGCTTCAGTGGGCGTGGCTTAACTTTATATTCATTGGGAAATGAATGCAATAACACGTGACCAATTCAGCTAATCAGAATGCAGGAATTAAAATGAACACAACGAAACATTTAATTATCGCACTGTACATTCACAGATTTTGTATCACATAATTTTTTGTGTTTTGATATGATGAAATAAGTAGTCTTTGAAGTTATCATTGTTGACATATTTATTCAAGAGAAATGATTTCAATATGTGTTGGAAATATCAACGTAAATAACAGTATGCACACTTTGTAAAACAAAGACTGAAACAAAGACTCTCTGAGGTTGTTGGACAAAGTTCTTTATTGAAACAAAGTTATCATCACCAAATTCACAGACACAAACAGTACAAGGCTGATAGAAACAGCATATTCAACCAATAAATTAATTGACAGGAACATATTTTAATACTGTCTAAAGCAGAAATCAAATGAAGCAAGCAGTGACTGTTTTTACGCTGTTTTCCAGCTCAGTAATGTTACAGAATGGAGGGTACAAAATGAGGGTCGGCCATGCCCCTGGGTTCAGTGGCTCAAGATATTTCTGGTTTCAAAAATCATTTACTTTCCCAAATGTGTCCCCATGGTGTAGTTTTCTTACAGTATGATCATGTCTTTCTTCTGAAGAAAATGAATGTTGTTAGCCATGATGATTGTCAACCATATTCTAATCGTATTTACTCAAATACATAAGAAAGGAGCCAACATTGACAAAAGCCACTTCCTTCAAACAAATTAACAGTTAAGTTATTGAGAAGTTAAGGAAGCATAATTTAATGTGAAGAAGCAGCGTCACAGAATAAATATTAGCTTATATCATGAACATCTTTATACATCTCACATTGAAAATGAATGGCAGCCATGAAAATTTATTGAATAAAAGTTTAACAGTTCTTATTGTGATGTTATTCATCAACATTCGACGTAGAAGTAACACATTTCACATACTTAACAGGTCCATGACATAATTGCAATGATTTGCAGAACAATATAATCATGAAGTCATGGTAAGTTCTTTGAAACTGAGATAAAGAGATCAAGTAATTCTCAAAACATAGTTCAAAATGGAACATTGAACTGGCATCTTAATGGCACATGGGCTACCATGTAGCATCCTAGATTATCTGGTGTATTACATCTCCATTGTAGAAGGATAAATACCCTGGACCCATTCAGACCATAGCTTCATTACAGAAGTCATGTATCCACCTTCACTGCTCTTCTCTCGGAGTACAAAATTGTTCTCGCTTGTTAATTTGACAGAATGACTAGTTTTATCATCATGCTATTCTCATCAGGCTCTAAACAAAGCTATGGTAGGGAATGGGTCCAAGGTAATTATAAAAAAATGTATGCAGATATTGTACACAGGATTACCGAGGATGCAATATATGAATTCCACATTTCTTTGATTAAAGATTAAGTCATTGCTTGCTGTCTAAAACAATTAAATAAAATATTTTTTCCCAAGCTAAAATGCGTCTTTCACTTTAATTTTGAATTCAGATAAAAAATATTTATTTTGATAAGACCGTGTTTGTTAAGGTTTGAATTTCATCACTTGATGAAAATAGGGATAAAGATTACCTGATAACCTGTCAAACCATGTGCCATGTTCTCAACATTGCAACAAGACTGCACACATAAACAAATGAGCAATTCTGAGGAATAAATACACCAAAAAAATATATCAGCATCTACTTATAAAAATGATTAACTGGTAATTTGGAAAATGAGGATGACAATCAGAAATGAAGTAATTATTATTGCACTCATTCTTGTATTTAATTTGACAAAGATTTACATTCATTCAGAAATGACATTAAACATCAAATGAGAGTTATGATAACAATCAATGAAATATTGCTCAAATGGTCACTGATTGAAAGCAGTGCTTACAAATCAAACCTGTTCCTTAGTATTCTTTTGAAAATTTGTACAATTGTTTACAGCTTGGTGTTTTTTGTTACCTTGATATTATATTATAACATTTTATCTGGATTAAATTCCATCATCCTCTCCATGAATAGTGCAGTTATATGAAACTCCTGACATCTGAAGACTAATAATAATTTCTGCATCGCAACTAAATGACCTTGAGACTAATAATCCTAATTTTGATTTCAAAGTCTACTTGAATTTCAAAATCAGCTATGAACATTTTAACAAATGACTTTCAAGAGAAAACCCCTGAATCGTATTTATGATGTTGCTGCAATTAATGGAACTAGTAACTACAATGTAGCCATCCAAATAGACGAGGAAGCAATAAAACAATCCTTTAAAACAACTTACAAGCACACAGTACAAAATGTGCATTAACAAATCTTCCTTTGAAGTCAACTTTCAAAATAAACTCTAATACGTTTTCTAGACTCCTTTGTAACAAGTGTTTGACACAGTTCATCCCTGGTCTTCTAGAACACCCTCTGAGTGAGCTTTTATTCCTGACTGAGGTTCATGGAAGCCTGGGAAGCTGGAGACCCTGTTGTGTCAATGGAAGATCACTAAGGAAGCGACAGGTGCTTGGAGCCTACTTTCACCACTTGCAATACATGAATGCAAAAGTCATACCATAAGCTGACATTGCAAACAGGGCTGTAGAGGCCGTCTCTCTAGACTCTCAGTGGCCTTGTTGCTGAATAGACACTCCTTTTTGAAAATGGTTACTCAAATGAAAGGGTCAAGTTTAATCTAAATTGTCTATTTGTTAGAAAGGTTTAGTTTCAGGAATGGCATGGTTAAATATATACTGAGCAATCATGTTCTTTACTGGTGGAATCCTTCACAGAAATTATGCAGACACTATTTGTAGATAGAATGCTGAATATTTTGATTGCCAATTAAGTGAGTGAGTGAGTTAGGTTTAACGCCACTTTTAACAGTATTCCAGTTATATCATGGCGTGTCAGCTTAATGTGGGAGGAAAGCCCGAAGTGATGCACGAGCATGGGTATGGTGCTGACAAACCTAGAAACATCATAGGGGCGAACCCACTATCATAGATTTCTGGCGTGCCCAAGGGGCACAACTCTGCACAGCGAATCGCAGACGACTGGGCCACCCATGTCCCCTGCCAATAAAGAACAATAACTTATCTTTTCAGAGTGCGTGAGTATGGTTTTACGCCGCTTTTAGCAATATTCCAGCAATATCATGGCGGAGGACACCAGAAATGACTTATGTTGTTAGAAATAAATTAACTAGAAGAAATTTTATCATAGACAAGCATGTCCCGAACAGTTTTCCTGTTGCATGTCCCATTCACTGAGGAAATCTTTCTATATGCAAGCAAGACGATCCTAATGGGCTCTACTGCCCTACATGGGATAAGTGAAAACAACATATCGTCAAGCATTTGTCACAAGAATTTCCCATCCACCATGTCTTTACTTCTGAGGTATAGAATGGACACACTCTAAATCTTTCGCTCATTACATGGAAAGGTCACACTATCTGTCACCTAACAAGTTTTCAACATCAACATAATTACTCAATAATCTAATTTGCAGAAATTAAGAAATTTCAGCAACCTGATAATGTTGAGTCAAATGACAAAGTCTGATCAATATCTTTAAACATTTGAATGTTCTCACTACATGTGCACATTTGTATTTGATTTATCAGAATAACACATTCTAAATAAATATATTCTTAATACGCAGGTAACTTAATTTAAGATGTACAAATGTTGATTTTGAATTCAAAATGTCTCAGAAATAATACAACATATGTCCTAGAACTGCTAAAAGATCTATATGCGGATTCAATTGTCACAAATAAACAAGTCACTAATGGTTGACAGCATACAAAAATAAATTAATCCTGCAAAGTGTAGCAAGCTCTACACTATTTTCACAACGCTGCAGTATTTTAAATTTGTATGTGTGATACCTCAACATGATTTTTTGCATAGACATTTAGACAACGGATGAATCATGAAATTTGAATAGTAGATTAAAATGTGTTTGGGCAAATGAACCTGTTGTTTTGAATAGTTTTGCATAGGATTTAAAATATTACTTTGCATATCAGATATTTAGTCATAATTAACTTGGACTGACACTAATCAATGTTTCACTTATCCCCATAGTTGAGGAATAGTTGTTTGGAATTGAACTGAAACAATATCAGAATATTATAATTATTATTTGAGTTCCGAGTGAAGTGTTGGAAATGTTACCTCAGTATGAATGGAATAGCAGTTTAAAGAGATGCAATCTAAATGGAATGTGAAGAAAGATTTAGTAATACATTATGGCTGATATATAATTTATGCAAAAAGCACTATTACATGTGTTTGGAACATCTCGATCCCATTTACAGCATGTAAATATTTTCCTTTCGAAGAAAGACAGTTCGCTTAACTTTTTTAACATTCAGCAAGTAATTGTTTCCATAGAGGAGTCAACAGGACAACTGTTTCCTGTGAACGAGTGATGACTTTGTGATGAGAAATAATAATTTCAGTTTCACTGACACGATTCGTTTCTATGTATATATTTGGTGATGGCATTGATAAACAGTATTTTGTAGAACAAGAACCCCAGTGGGTAATAAAATAAATGTAGAATAGTCTTTGTCTCTGTATACAGAAGTCAACAAAACAATTTCACATTGAGTTGTATGCTCCGACACAACCTGAACCCTATGGCAAATACTGAGATGATATTAACAAACCCTGTTTCTACAATGATTTCATTACAAATCTTATGCTGTCTGAAATCAGTAAAAAAAAAATGTGACGATAATCTACATATCTTGTTTCAAAATTATTAAGTGACCAATCTTTGGATATGTAAAATAATGCTTTATTCAAAAGATCATAATAAAGCTGTAAATACAACAACAGAATATGAAATTGTTCTGTAGAAATTGTAAGATATGGCAAAATAAGGAATCAACATTCAACAGATGCAAAGAAAACATAACCAATAATATCTAAAGATCAATGAAATCAAACTAATGAATGTATAAAATATGATTAACAAGGGTATATAAATATGGAGTTTAAATACACATGACGAAAAAGGAAAGGAAATAAGATGAGGAAATACAGGTGAATGCTGAAAACGCTCAACAACTTAACAGCTTATTAAGCATTTTTCAAAAATACTCTTTAAATTACTTTCTCACAATCTAAAATAACATGCAGAACAGATACAATGTTTTAAGTACGTTAAAATTCTAACAATTACTATTCATAATACATGTATATATACACTTCCAAGAAGTGCCTCACAAAGTGTGCATTCACTTCCCGTCACACACAAAAATCCTGGCAGTTGGTTGGTAAATTTTTTATATATTTTTTTTGTATTTTCATAGACAAAAAATAACAGGACTTCATTTTTGCTACAAATATAAGTCATTATCATCCAACATCTGAACACAATATCTGAACTACAATTGACTAAGGACCAAGAACCTGTCGTCAAACACTGCCTGTAGCTAGACCTCCCATGATCTTCTGCCATAGATCTTTGCGACACGATTTTGAGCGTCGCAGGCTTTGAAGAAGTTCATTAAACTGCACGACACCACCTGGGGCCATGAAGAATGCGTTACGGGCGCTGCAGATTGTGCTGACGAAGTCGTCATAGTCAGCATATGTTATGTGATGAATTCTCTGATGGGCACACTGTATGAACCTGCAATAAAAAGACATAGGTCAGTAACCTCTTAAAACAAAGCAACTTATGATCATTTAAAGGACTGGACATTTAGTATGGCTGAATTTTTGGCATGGACTGAATCTGGGCATCAATGTATTGGGTGGTGTTAATGTACATCATATCACTTCATGTGGGAGAATTTTTTTACTAAAACCACACTCTGCAATATTCCAGGTGTAAGAGAGTGGCTGTAAATAATGGAGTGTGGACCAGATAAACCAGTGATTATGTTATGAGCAACGCCGACAAGGCATGTTGACATGCAATCAACCAAGTCTGACCATCTGATTGATTAAGTCAACTCCTACAACAGGCGTCGGTTGTAGGTGACCTATTTTAGCCTGGAATCCCCACGCATGTGACACAGGTCACAGGTGTTAACCAAGTTGGTTAAATCCAAGAAGTAACAGTGCTGCCAAACCAAGGATCATAACAAGGGTGAAACAAATATTAGAATCCTCGATCAGCAGTTCCTGGCATAGCCAAGGGACAATACTCTGCACAGTGAATAGGGGGGCTCAGGAATAGGCCACCATTGGAATAAATCAACAACAGGTAAAACCAAATAAGGAGAAAGAAGAAAGGATAAGTTAAATTAATGAAGTCAATGAACACCTTTATACACAAAAAGTCCCAAGATTGGTTGCCAAATATCAAAATACATAAATAAAGAGATATCCTCAAACAAACACTCTGAATCTCCTTTTATCAACTACAGGAAAGACATAAAAGTAGCTGTGACTTAAAGTTGGTTTAATCTTGGCTTAACAGTATATCTTGATACTTGGAACAATGTTTATGAATAACAGTGGATGGGAGAAAGTACTGACATCTGCAGACACTTCTGGAACATGGAGTTGAGGATGTTGGATCTAAGCTGACTAGGCACATGGGCTTGGTTGTTCCTGGCCAGGAAGCGGGCTGCCTCGGATGCTAGGTCATACAGGACGAAGGGGCTCACTACAGCATTCACTGCACTGGCACAAAACTGCTGGAGAGTTGACGTTCCTGCAAATACAAATACAACTGTATTACACATCTTGAGATTTTTTAAGAAAGTAAACAATAATAAGATTTAAAGTTAATGATTTTTTCAGAAAATAAACTGTTAATAAGTTTGGATCAAAAGGGAACTATACTCCACTACCTGGGTCCTATTCCAGATGAAGATGATGTATACTACTCAAAAGAAGTTAAGGACCTGTAAATTCTTTCACATTACTATAGTTTATCTGTCATGCCATGACCTATAAACTGACGTAGTATGAAAACTGTGTGATCCTTGACCTCTTCTGAGCAGTAAACTTGCACCATGTGTGAAATGTGTTTTTGAGTTAGCCTTAACTGTAAGACCGATTTAAATACCGGTAACAACATTTCAGTGTGTGGACACACAAAATGGGATTCACATGACATGAATCAAACTAGCTTGGCCAGACAATTTGCCCAGCCTAGTTTCCCTTTCATGCTGGGAGCATGTATGGGAGATAAACAATATTATCTGAAACAAACTAAAATTTGATTTACTGATAGGAGGCAGGAATAAATGATTTAACAAGCAATGTCTTTCATGTGCTGGATCACCTTGACAAGTGACTGAACGAGGTTCCATGTCGCTTTTATCAATATTGTACCCATACCACTTAGAAATAAGAGTGTTTGTTGTTTAACGCCGCACTCAGCAATATTCAAACTATGTGATGGTGGTCTGTAAATAATCTAGTCTGGACCAGACAATCCAGTGACTGACATGATAACATCGATCTAGGCAATTGGGATAAAATGACACGCATCAACCAAGTCCACCATCAACCAAGTCAGCCGGCATGACCATCTGATCATGTTCGTCGCCTCTTATCACAAGCACAGGTTGCTGAAGACCAATTTTAACCCAAAAATTCAAGAAATAAGCGTGACATGCCTATGTTGGAAATCAATCATGTAGACTAACTCAATCTTTATCCTCCGTGCCACAAGCATACCAAGACCAATATCACTGAAACAATCTCCGTGAACTAACCTAGTTTGATGGCTATTGCCAGGAGCCATTTGACATCCTCCCCATAGGGTGGGTTCCGAGCATACTTTGTCTGAGGGCGGTCGTCATGGACTCGACGAGCAAGTGTCTCCATAGCTGACATGCCCACCCTGAAGGCTGCCATCAGGTACTTGAGCTGCTCCTGATTGTGTACAGGGGGCTGGGCGGCCGGCTGGGGACTGGCGACTGCGATCTGACCCATCGTCCCAGTGGAGGCTGTGCTAGTGGTCGGCTCCAGCTGGTGGAGACCGTGGATGTGACTGGAGATAGGGTTGGAGATGTTTTGGACTGTTGCCACTTGGCAGTTAGTTCCAGCGTAGATGGGAACAGCTGGGGTGATTGGTCGGATGTGGGTGGCAGATGTGTGATACACTTGGGAGTGTCCAGACATGTTCTGGATGTTGCCGTATGGAGCCTGGTTCTGGTAGTACTGCGTCACGTAGGCTGGATGGATACTGTGAGGGTGTACTATGTGTGGCTGTGAGTAGTGGCTGAAGGCAGCAGCAGGCACTTGTTGAACATAACAGTTATTATAGTGTTGTACATATGCTTGAGGTAGCTGTGCATGGTGAGGACCAGTCTGTGGAATAGCATAGGGGCTTAGTACAACGGCCTGGTGTGCCACAGGATTGCTGCTATGGGTCAGGAGCTGAGGACTAGCTGTAGCGTTAGCTTGGCTCTGGGGTGGGTTGTGGTTATAGGGAAGGACTGGGTGGGCTGAGGGGCTATTCCTGTCTGGGTTGTTAGCCACAGGCTGGACAGGAGCAGCAACAACAGGAACAGCCACAGGAGCCTGATTTTCGGGCTCCACTCGAACTGTCCTGGCAGCGCTGGCACAGACATCCACAGCTTCAGATGATGACTTTTGTGCAGCTTCTTCAGATAGTTCATGCCAGTGTCTGGCCACATCGAAGAGGACTTCGGGGAACACACCCCCTCCCTCTGCTGCGGTCTCCACAGCCAGACACGCCTTCTCCAGCATCTCCTGACTCTGTTCCTTACACTGGAACAAGGCTCGCTGCACCTCTGTAGGGTTCAGGGCATGGGCATGTGGCAAGCATGACAAAGCAAGCTCTGCTGCAGTTTTTGCCATGTTGGGGTCACGCCCTCTTGCAGCTCTGTCTGCAAGGGAGGCCACCTCCGGAGGAGTCAAATGACCCTCCCATGTATCAATCAGTATCCTGATTGCTGCGCTGCCAATTTCCATGGCTTGACCTGCAACAGTAATGTAGCATTGTAACGATACTTGGAATTTATTTTACTCCATTTTCATCACATCATTTGAATTATTTAATGTCATACTGACAACAAATTAAGTGTTTTGTCTGACACCTTGATATTTCTTTGAATATACAGATTAAACTAAATTTATTGTAAAACTAATCAATCTTTAAGACGTGTAGCCGCTTACTTTAAAAAGCCAATATTTAATAGATCTCACATTTACATTTAAAAAAAATATGAAAACCTTACTTTTTCATAAAAAGTTTATTTATTTGTTTATTTATTTATTTGTTGCTTATATCAAGGCTGCCTGTAAGTAATCAACTCTAGACCAAATATACCCTGACCCTACAAGAGTGCTAAAGGATGACAAGATTGGTATGTAAGTACCTATTCACAACAACCAGTAAAGTTTGGATAGCGGGACAGCAGTATAAAGGTTTTGCAGCTAAGATACATTTGATATGCCCACAACATACACACCTGTGATCCAAGACACATGGGAGGAGTAAGTTCTAGACAGCCAGTTGGGTGCCACGCAGTTGCTGAGTCCAAGGGCATACAAGCCAATCTGGAACGCACATAGATGCAGGTTCCTGTGTGGACCATGCTGGTTGTTGCTGTTGGAAGGCTGTGTGAAGAGTGACGTCGAGCTGTTACCCCCTGCCTTCATCAACACAGTCTTAGCGAGCTCAAACATGAAGTGGGCAGAAGCTTCACTAGGCTGATTGGGCACTGTTGGCATGATGCGGTTCTTTCCCTTGTACCTGGAACAAGATTAGGTACATTGATTGATTGTTTGTTGTTTAACGCCACATGCAATGTTTAACGCAATATTCCAGCTATATGATGGCAGTCTGTAAATAATCGAGTCTGGACCAGACAATCTAGTGATTGACATCATGAGCATCAATCTACGCAATTGGGATATGATGACATGTTTCAACAAAGTCAGCGAGCCTGACCACCCGATCCAAATAGTCGCCTCTTACCACAAGCATGGGTTGCTGAAGACATATTCTACCCTGGATCTTCATGGGTCACATTAGGTACAAATACCATGATGCTAAGATGTATAGGTGAGGTGAAATGGGGTTAAATGTCGCAATTATTGCACTTATAAAGTGACGTGCATGCACGTGTGTGGCTGCTTGTACTAGTCCGGACTGAGCCCACTGAGATACCATGCCGCAGTTTAACATGAATACCTCACTCAGACACAGTATACTGACTCCGAGCCGACCAGTCCTTGTTTTAGTCCCTTAATGCCAAGCGCCAGACAGGGTAACAACAAGTACCACCTTTTAACATCTTTTGGTATGACACAGCCGGGAATCGAACCTCGGACCTTCCCCTCTCCTGCTAAAATGTATAGTGCATTGAGGTGTTTCTATTTTAGGATGGATGTTAAGACTTCTTGATAATCTTCAACAGTATTGCAGCCATACTACAGCATCAAGCACAAATGGTCACAAAGGGAACGTATTCTGAGCAAGAATCTACACTGGGTTTGAGATAGTGACCCACTGGGAACCTATTCTGAACAAGAATCTACACTGGGTTTGAGATAGTGACCCACTGGGTGTTAATGCCAGTCCAATAACTAAAACCAACCGCTGTAGACACTTGTTTCTTTTATTCTTCCTCAGCTTACACCACTCACACAAAAACAACCTGTCACGCCGGCCGGCACATGCTCACACCCTTTCTCACAACATGAGATTTTCCCAGCAGCCCCACTTCCGACATGCGCAGTGGGACTAGCTTAGCAGACGATATATCAACATTCAATTCATTTTCTTTTTCTATTTTTTTCTCTTCATTACTTGCGAGTACAGAAGTCAGTGACAAGCATTGTTCATAAAAATTTGTAAAGATATTATAAAATGTTCCAAATATATTTTAGCTTTTTAACTTATATTAAATAGAATACAATGTACACAGGCATGTGAAAAGCAATCTCAGGGGTAGACTTCCCTCCTGCCTTGGGGATTATTCTGCCCAACACTATCACTCACATGCATCTTTTAAACTATCACAAAGTCACCATCAATCAATCTGAAGATATCCAGTTTGCAACACACTCAAAAGCTGAAAGCTGTATGGGCCTATTCTGAGCAAGAATCTCCATTGATTTTGGCATACTGAACATGGACCTTCTAGAGTACCACTCATCTACCACCCAATCCGTTTTTTTACATCAGAAGAATATGGTAACAATATTTCTGCTGTTATCAACAAAATGTGGGGGTACTAGAATTATATTGTGTGAGCATATCATCAATCTTTAAATGTCAATTTACCTGATTCCTTTGATGTTGGGAGTTGAGCTTCTTGAGTCCATCATAAGCTGTGAGGGCAGGATCCTGTTGATGTATGGACTGGGCGGACTGGAAATACAACACAGAAACTGATGACTCATAGTGGGGCTGGGTCAAGTCCAAATTTACTACCCGGGTACTCAACCCTATGTGGGTACCGACTATAGGTCTCAAAAGTTATGTGCAAAATGTTCGATTGGGAATTGTTTTACCGGAGCCTGGCAAAAACTATTAAGATACACTTATAAAACGATCTGATCATCCATACAATGAAGTTGACTGAAGCTTATCTTTATTCAAACCTTATAAAAGTCAAAAGGAAAGGGTGCATTGTCAGAATGAAATGCTAACATTAATGAATTTAGTGTATACCATGGAGTTACAGTGAATTATTTTCATTAAACAATATATCATGTGACTAACGATTGGTCTGGGCAGTCCAACTCAGGACCCACCCGACCCAAGTACCCAAGTTACCCATCTCCAGATGGATACTGTACTGTACCTCCCTGGCATTCCAGAAGGTCATATAGGTGCCGGGCGAGGAAGCAGTTTAATGGCAGTTTGAAGAGTATTTCAGTTATATCGCATTGCGGGGGTGAAATCTCAAAGTAATGCAGGTCATAAGACATTTACCACTTTGATAAAACACACTAGCACTGACCTAGAAACAATTGGGGGGAACTGGGACTTGAACCAGTATATGATGTAGGTAATGAAAAATAATATGACAACCATAAATGTAAACAAGAAAAGTGTCTTGGAGCAAAATAGGGAAGTCTTTTCCCAAATGCCCCAAAGTTGTAACCCACAACCACTTGTGACCTGACCATTTACATTAAACACAGTTCAGGAATCATGTCAAACCCTGTATGATGCAGCACATTAGGTGACAGCTAGGTAACCACACTGCATTCTATTTGTAGTCAACAACAGTCTGATCCTGTTGTGTTATACATGTTCAGTTAATAAGATGGCATTTCACTACCACTTATGGAAAATACTTGCTTCATGCTGGACTTCATAAACATAAATGGCTTGAATACAAACAAAATTTTGTTTAACTACATTAATATTTGTCAAGAATCCATTCTTATTAGTCATTAATTTTGACACACTAGGCTGATTATAGAAAATGAATTGTCCACAAATGAAATGGGTTACAACCCATTAATATTTGTTTAAATCACCATTCAGAAACCACTCTCATCAATTTTACTTGCAAAACACCAAGTTGAGGTCATATATATGAAAATATTTTTTTTTAAATTAGACGAAACTCAGAAACTAGTTCTTGGTTATAACTTGCCATCGTTCCTGATTCCCATCATCTGCATGATGAGTAACACACCTTTCGTTGTCTCTCTGCAGGCCCCTGGCACCCTTATCCCCAGAGCTGCTGGAGCCCAGGGAGTCGCTGCTGTCCCCGCTGCTGCCGCAGTCGCTGCCGGGACCCTGATGTTTGCCAAAGTTGCGTCGCACCAGGGTGGGGGAGTTGTCACTTGATGTTGTCTCCGGGGCGCTGCTGTCAATACTGGCCATACCTGCAACACACACAGAACAGTTCCCACATGTGCTGATGTGTCATTCTCATAGAGTAAGGGAGGGTGTTTGGTTTAACATTATTTTGAACAGTACTTAAGTTATATCACGGCATGTTCGCTTGCTGTGTGAGGAAATCCCTCACAGTGATGCAAGACTTAGATGTTTACCACTGTGATGAATAAGCAAAGGTATGGTGCTGACAAACCTACAAAAATAATCACAGCAGAACGGGATTTAATGCACGATCATAGGTTCCTGGTATATCTAAGGGGCACAACTCTGCACAATGAATTGCAGTGTCTTAGACCACTGGGCCACACTGAATATCAAACGAACACAAAAGGTAATGTTGGACAGAAACTACAGAGGATTCAACATCCAACTGATTACTTGATTATGAAGTCTGTGAAAGGTTTTTCCAATTAAATTAATTCATTTGAACAAATCTGAGGGACATAATCAAAAGTAGTTAAACAAGTAAAAAGTATCAAATGTTTAAAGGACGACATTTTAAGTTCCGGTGTTTCTTTGTTTGTGTATCAGATTACAAAATCATTTAAAAAGGCAATTTCACTTGTAAGAAGGACCTCCTGGTTTTCAACCTAGTGGGGTCTGAGACAAACAGCCTGCCAGCACTCTATTTGTGATGGGAGTAGACTAGATTGTGTGGTCAGACTTAGTGACTTGGCAGACTGCATGTCATCGTACACAACAGCATGGGATGTTGCTCAACCCAGTAGCGTCTAGGATAAACAGCCTGCCAGCACTCTATTCCTTGTTGTAGGAGTTGACTAGATTGGATTGGGTGGTCAGACTGAGTGACTTGGCAGACTGCATGTCATCGTACACAACGGCATGGGACGTTGCTCAACCCAGTAGCGTCTAGGATAAACAGCCTGCCAGCATTCTATTCCTTGTTGTAGGAGTTGACTAGATTGGATTGGGTGGTCAGACTTAGTGACTTGGCAGACTGCATGTCATAGTACACAACGGCATGGGACGTTGCTTATATAATACTATAAGTGGTTTGGCTGGCCTAAACTGGATTTATTTACAGGTCGGTGCAATATTGCTGGAATATTGCTGACTGTGGCATAAAATTCCACTGGTGGTTTTCCTTCTGTTTACTGACCTTGGGAAGGTTTCTTCTTCATACCCAGACACCGGATCTTGGCTTCCAGAGCCTTGATGTCATCTCCCTCTTCCTCCAGGGCAGAGCTGTCAGTGTCCTTGCCACTGCAAAACAAGAAGGGCCATTTACCACATGCATTCTAAAACTCTGGATCAAAATGTGTCTAATAGATTGGCAAACAAATACCACAGAAAACCCTGGTTACTGAGCTATTTGTCAAATGATTATTCTTGTTTGTTTGTTTGTTGTTTAACGCCGCATTCAGCAGTATTGCAGTTATATGACAGCTGCCTGTAAATAATCAGGTCTGGACCAGACAATCCAGAGATTGACATCATGAGCATCGATCCACGCAATTGGGATACAATGACATGTATCATCAACCAGCCTCTTACGACAAGCATAGTCGCCTTCTATGGCAAGCATGGGTTGCTAAAGACCTATTCTATTCTTGTCATGAAGTTTTACACTGTTGTTCAAACATCCAATCAGTGCCCTGGACTTGTCCATGGGAAACTTCAGTGCATAGAGACATCTTTGAGAGTACTCATCTGTTCTCATGTTACATCTGTGGGAGCACTGACCTGTTCATGTTATATCTGTGAGAGCACTGACCTGTTCATGTTATATCTGTGGGAGCACTGACCTGTTCATGTTATATCTGTGAGAGTACTGACCTGTTCATGTTATATCTGTGAGAGCACTGACCTGTTCATGTTATATCTGTGAGAGCAGTGACCTGTTCATGTTATATCTGTGAGAGCACTGACCTGTTCATGTTATATCTGTGGGAGCACTGACCTGTTCATGTTATATCTGTGGGAGCACTGACCTGTTCATGTTATATCTGTGGGAGCACTGACCTGTTCATGTTATATCTGTGAGAGCACTGACCTGTTCATGTTATATCTGTGGGAGCACTGACCTGTTCATGTTATATCTGTGGGAGCACTGACCTGTTCATGTTATATCTGTGAGAGCACTGACCTGTTCATGTTATATCTGTGGGAGCACTGACCTGTTCATGTTATATCTGTGGGAGCACTGACCTGTTCATGTTATATCTGTGAGAGCACTGACCTGTTCATGTTATATCTGTGAGAGCACTGACCTGTTTATGTTATATCTGTGGGAGCACTGACCTGTTCATGTTATATCTGTGGGAGCACTGACCTGTTAATGTTGTATCTGCGGGAGCACTGACCTGTTAATGTTATATCGGTAAGGGCACTGACCTGTTCATGTTATATCTGTGAGTGTAAGTCTTCGGCCTCGCCCCTCCAGTGATCATCCCACTGCCTGAGTGGGAGGGGTGTTGAGGGGGCAGGGCATCAGCTCCCCCTGACGGTCCAGGTCGTACGTCCTGCCACTGCCCACCTATGTCAGGGTTGCCACCTCCCATCATCGGTGCTCGGTCTGGGACAAACAAATTGTCCATGTCCGAGTTGTGGTTGGCGGCCATGTTGCCAACTGCTCCATGCATATCTCCCTGGGCAGCAGCGTGACTAGGCCCTGGTATAGGGCCCTGACTAGAAGAGGTCTTGCTACTAGACAGGTATGTCACCAGGCTCGGAGCTTTGAAGAGTTGATGGACTTCCTTGTCCAGCAATTTGTCCATTATCTGTTGAAAAAAAAGGCACTGTTGGTAATTTGGTATTATGTTACATTTATTTTCTAACACATTTCACAACATTACAACTAAATATTGACCACCAAGGAAACTTGATGACACAGTACTTTGAACAATTTGGGACAGAAAATATTTTGCCTCAACAAAATCACAACAGAGGTAATGACTAAACTATTTACATTTAACTCAATATTGGACAAAGAGGCGGCTTACTTCCTCAATGATAAATCTCACATGTGAAAAACATAATTCATTTTCACAATTCACAATGTATACTTTTTTAGGTTCAGAAACCTTGAAATGTCAAATACATAACTTCAGTATTCAGAGGAAGATTGTGAGAAATGACATGTCTAAGTATGACCCTGACCTTGCTTAGCTTGACCTGGTCATCCTTGTACTGAACCAACATGGACATGGCTAGCTCTCCCCTCTGTCTCCGTGTGCTCTCACACAGCAGTGGGTGCTCAGCCTCGGACACGTTTGCTTTTAAACCTTAAATCATATACACGCATAGTAAACTCACAATACACTCTTTCATAAACACAAAAATAAAATATGAGCAGATGTCTTTGTAATTCATACACAAACAAATGACAGGGAGAAAGGGAGCTAACTCAAGTAACTAGTATCACACACATAAACCACTTATCTCCCTTTATGTGTAACATGAAAACTTATTAGTATCACGTCTGTCACACTAAACTATGCACTCACCTAATGCTGTCACAGCAGCCTCAAATCCAAGTTTCTCATCTGCCACGCTTCTGTCTGAAAATGTTAAATATTGTCAGTATATGAAGTATGCTATGAAGGAACATTTCTTGTATGTTTCAATATCAACATAATCTTAGAAACATGAAACAGAAACTTGAATAATAAGTATGGATTCTATTCCATAAAGCTGCATTATTAACTATGTCCTCACACTCAAACCTTACAGCGTTGGAGTTGAACTCTGGTGAGCTTCACCTGATCAACATTTTAGTGAACTCACACTAGGTGGTGAGGTGAAATTGGGTTTAACGTCACGTCTAAGATTATTCCACTTATATGGCGATGTGCATGCATGTGTGTGGCTGCTTGTACTAGTCTGGACTGATGCCGATTTATAGTGCTAGCTCACTGAGATACCATGCTGCAATTTAACATGAATACCCCAGTCAGACACAGTATACTGACTCTGAGCCAACCAGTCCTTGTTTTAGCGCCTTAATTATGAGCACCAGGAAGGGTAACAACAAGTACCATCTCTAATGTCTTTTGGTATGACACGGACTGGGATCGAACCCTGGACCTTCCGCTCTCCGGGCAGACACTCTACCACTTGACCACAGAGGCAGTCTGAACTCACATGACAAACATGTACTAGAAACTCATTTTGTTGAAGATCCCAACAGGAGGGTACATTGTAAATATTCTCTAAATCATCTGAAAGCTCCAATCAATTTGCTTACTTGCAACAACACCTGGAAGACAAAGTGAGTCAAAGATGAATGTAGCAAGGTGTAGCGGCAGAAGGGCGTCGCCCCTTGTCTGCAGCTTGCCGTCACGCAACTGTTCTGCCCTGTCCCGCAGGACACCCAGCTCGGCCGGCCACAGGGGGATCTTCTTCAACATCTGCAGCAGCTCTGACTCCTGGTGGGCTAGCTTCACCTAGGGGAGACAACCAACATAGGTAACTCATGTGGCTTCTAAAATGTTTGTTGTAATGCATTGCAGAAGTCAATTCAAATTCTTACTGGCATAATTAACATTACTATTAGGTGAATAATAACGTTATCTAAGGTGCTTATGACATTTCCAAATTCAGAGTTTACCTATGACACCTAAGAGAGAATTACCCAAAATGAATACAGCACAAAAACCTCTCATACTTTGTAATGTGTAAGTAAAAAGGACAGTGACAGACTAGCAATGACCTGTTCAACTGCATAGAGTGAGTGAGCGAGTTGGGGTTATTTAACGTTCGTAGTGGACACCAACAATGTGCTTCACACAAACCTCAGTCTACTATGTGACATGCCGGTGCTCACACCACTAGGCCATCCCACCGCCCATTCAGCATGTTCAGTTTCTAGTACTCCAGTTATTGTATTACTTACCTCAAGCGCCTTGCTGGATGCAGGTGGTCTTGCAAGCTCCAGTCCAAACATCCCGACTTGGAAGGCTAGATGGTGGCACTCCACTCCTTCACACAGAACACTGACCAGGAAGGAAGCCTTGGACAGAGTGGCACTGGCTAACAGGCTGATGTTGTTCAGGGCCTTCTTCTTCTTGGCTGGAAAGCATGTTGGAGGACATTAACTGATTGCAGGGAACAGAGGAGAGCAGTGCCTTTACTGTGAATATTGCTGTGTATCTCTAGCACTGTTTGAAACTATGCATGAAAGTCAAGGGGTCGTATCCGTAATGTTAAACAAAGGTAAAAATATTTGGATTAACTGGCACACGCACAAATGAACACAGACACACATTAGTTTAAAACACTGTAGACAATATGACCATGATAGATTAAGGAAGCAAACATAAGGAATGCAAGGTACTTCAGGTTACTTTCATTTCTAAGTCACACAAAAACTCTTTGATAGCAGACGCCAACATGATTCCTGATAATTTGATTCTCATTCCAATGTATGTGAATAAAATTACCATCTGTAATTCAAGTATTTCTTTAGTTTATTAACATCATTCTTCAAATAAATGACATAACACATCTTCTGAAAGATATATGACAACATCCCTGTGACTGGAGAAAGATGAGGCTACTCACACTTTGGTGTTGGCACATTGGCCGACTCCGCAATAAGGTCTGGTGGGTTGGTCAACAAGTCTTCAGCTAACTGCTTGGCCAACTTACAGGCCTCTTTAGTGTGGCCGTGCGCATGGAGAGCCTCTGCCCGAGCAAACAGTATTTGCGACAGAGGAGCAGAGGCTTGGAAGTTCTATTGGTGAAGAGAAGAGATTAATGTCACTTTTGTCATCTTCCTTGAACTGATCAGAATGTCCTGCATGAAGTAATTCTACCCTCAATAACAGGCTATAATATAACATGCCTTTCAAAGACCTATAACAGGTTTCTTTGAAAAAGTTGAACACATATCCTTATACAATAAAAGTGAGTGAATTTGTTTGTCAAATATTTGGAATTCAAATTTCACTGTCATATGGGGAGGCCAAGGTTTGAAAAATCTTGAGCGGATTACTTGTCTCACTGACACCATTTTGTATTTGATTAACTGCAACTGTCCAAATTCGCTCCACAATTACTGAGAACCATTGCATTATTTTCTACATGTATTTTGACTTATAGTGAATGTTAAACTATTTGAACATGTCATGAACATAACTGCCAAAGATTTTTCATAAAGTTAAACTAGGACAAAAAACACCAGTTTACAAATTTCGAATGAAATCAAATTCTAATCATGATGGGCCTACCATCATATGTCAGGTATATTATCAGATATTGATCATATTGACGGGAATTACTATTGAACAAAGACAAGGTTAAGTGATAGTGAATTGCAGGTAGAACAATCCACTAGATACATGTAACTTACATCCTGAGAGGAAGGGTTCTTCTCTGGGACCTTGCTGGCCTCCTGTGGGTTCTTCAGGCCAGCGAAGTAGTTGGGCTCCTCATTCTTGTCCTTCTTCTTCTTGTCTGCATCAGTCAGCTTTGATTTAGGGTCATAGAAATACATCTGATACTCATCACTAGACTGCTGTGATTCTGAGGTAGATTGTTCAACAGGCCGAACAGCAGGGGCACCAGCTTCAAGACTTTGACTAGATTGCGCTGTAGCTCCAGGGGACACCATGGCCCCTTCTTCCTGGGGGGTGGGGTTTGCGAGATCCTGACCGACGGGGTCTGGTCGGTCGTCCACTACCCCGTCATCAAACACATCACTATCCTGATGCACCATGACACGTACATTCTCCCTGTGTGAGACCTGGCCTGGATATACATGGCCAGGGTCAGGCTCATCCAAGGAGTTACTCCTAGAGTGAAATCCTTTGTTATCGTAACTAGAATCAGAGTCCCGGAATCCACGTTCCGGCTCACAAAATCCTTCTGAACCTGAGCTTGCTGCTCCATCATTGATGGCGGAATCTCTCCTCATATTCAACGGCCGTCCTTCGTGGCGGGCACGTGCCCGAGCATCCTGAGATCTTTGGGAATGAGCAAGAGTTCGAGAATTATCAGTGCTAATAATGTCTTCTGAGCATATAGTGACTGGTTGCACCCTGGATGGTTTCTTTCCCTCCCCATCTGAGCCCTTAGAGCTAAAGTGATACACATACCGAGATCCATCTTTGTCTGAGTAGGTTACCCCAGGAATGGGGTAGTCTTCCCATGTCATCTGACATGCCTCAATAGCAGGTTTGAACCCAGGAAAGTTTTCGATGTCACTTTTCTTAATGTTTCCGCCTGAACTGCTGGAATTAGATCCGCGAGCTTTCCTGACTTTCTCTATTGTCTGGATGTGCCACTCCTTGAACTTGGTGCATAGATCATCAGCTTGAATCGGTGAGAGTTTAGGGTTGAGAGCAGCTAGTCGCCACAGAGTTACTATTTCTTCACACAGACTCGCAGCAGCGTGCTGGGTGGCATTCGCCGAGCTGTTTCCACTGCGGCTACAGTGCACAGCATTGCTGTTATTAGAGGCTGAGGCCTTCGTGGCAAACCACCAAATCAGTATCTGGTAAAACAGAAGAATTTGGTTACATTCGTGGCAAACCACCAAATCAGTATCTGGTAAAACAGAAGAATTTGGTTACATTCGTGACAAACCACCAAATCAGAATCTGGTAAAACAGAAGAATTTGGTTACATTTGTGGCAAACCACCAAATCAGAATCTGGTAAAACAGAAGAATTTGGTTACATTTGTGGCAAACCACCAAATCAGTATCTGGTAAAACAGATGAATGGTTACATTTTTGTTTACCGACAGCAAAATTAAATTTCATGTGTACATATTAGAAGGAGAGCATTCAATCAAAAAGTGAATACATCCAGTATGCTAGATGGTATTGTGTTACAGTGGTAAGAAAACAATATTAAAAAATATTTGATGAAAATTTTTTGACAACGTTTACACATATACTGGTACTTATTACTATGGAATTTAAAGTTGTCTCTTGCTAAAGTGAGAAGTGAGTTTTGTTTTATGCCAGTCAGCAATATTTCCACTATATCCTGACAACCTGTAATTAAGTCTAGGCCTGGCAAACCAGTGAATGACAGCATAAGCAAAGATGTTTGGGCATGAATGAGTGAATGCTGCTAAAGTTAACAATAGTGCAACGACACAGTCATCAAAATCAGATGTTAACATAAGACAAGCATGGGACCGGTGACCAATCCCCATAGGTCTGGTGTCTTGTTCCTTAAGTGTACCTGTTCACACTGTAGAACCTCATCTGTGAGAATCTCCAACAGGGGTACTGAATTGCTGTCATGTCGCTTGAACATCTCCCTGACTATAGACAATAAGTTCCACATGCCCTCAGGCTCTCTCCCTCTCAGTGGCCGTAATAGACTCTGCCATTCTGCTGCTGCAGGAGGTGCACTGGCTGATAGGTAGTTCACATCACTGTTGAGAGAGGGGTGACAGGTTGTGAAACATACATATATGCTGTCTACCAGGGTTCTAGGACTACTATAGAATGTATGACTTTGTTTTACTTATAAGTAGTATGCTTTTAGCAAGGTGTTAGTCATTGATAATTATAAAACATGAAAAAAAACCTGAATGGTGTGGGGGTATTCTTAATTCAAAGTCATACATAATATTAAATGTGCCAACAAATGATCACTTTTTAATAGGTGATAAATCCTGAAACTGAAAGCTTTCCAATGACTCACCTAAATACTATTGGAGATGGGACACAGAACTTGACTAGAGTTTTCTTCACATTTTCATGTAGAGTTGTTTCATCTAAACACCATGAGGTCTGCTCACTTGCAGGGGGTCCAGCAGTAGGATCTGGAAATACAGTCATCAATAGATGATTATGTGTGCTGACATGCCACAAAAGCCCAGGAATACAGAAATGTACCCTGGACGAAATTAAACTATTTAAAGTACACAAAGTTACCTCAGTTGGTGACTGAAGTCAACAGTCCACAAAACATTTTATTTATTCACTTGTACCAATGTCCACATGTATCAAATCCCTCCTGTTGATAGGAACTGCTTTCACATAACCATGCACAGGCCAGTCCATCTGTACCTTTGCTTTTCAGTGGCTACGTAGGGGACCTTTCTGTATTCTGATTTAATAGGGCTGGGACGATACACCAATTTGATACATATCACAATACCTTGCTCACCATCCGATAAGTATCACGATACTTGCATGTGCTCTAATCTGTGGTGCGTAAGCCATCTTTTTCATAGACAGGATTGACAAATACCTTGCACACTGACGATTTACAGTTGGCAGTGTGAAGTAGGATGCAATGGAAAAAATATATTTAGGTTTTCCCTACTAATTAATGTTTGGTGTAATAGTTATTACAGCAAACATTTGAGGTATGTATCAATATTTTGGACTTGTGTGCCACTGTGATTAATTCTTGTATGGAGAAGTAAAAATTCGGATCAAGCAATGCATCGGCGTATCGTCTCACCACTATGATTAAGGCCAGGTTCCATTTCTCTATACAGAACGGTAACTGGGGTACATTCTGAAATACCCGACACAAGAACAACTTCTTCAGCATCACTAGTGTCTCTATGGCTAGGTTACTGTAGCTCTGCAGGAGGGAAAATGGTCAACAGAAAAATATGTTCCATATGGTACTAGCCAGGCATACTGCTGCTTAACTCAGAACCACATCCATTCTATGAAGAACTTTAACCACAAAATGACCACTTAATAAAAGGAAGCACTGACCTGGTGCCCCATACACTGTATTTATAGCTGTTTCCTGAGAAGATAACAGTTCATCTAGAAGCCGTTGAGCTGTTGGTAAAATCTGAAACAAAGTCATGTTGTCTGAATTCTTTAATCCATTGACGTATATTTCATTACTCTTAAGGAATTCTAAAGTAGTAATAAAACTTAATCTTTCATATGATAATAGTCCTGGATTGTTTCATCCTAGAGTATAGAGAGACAGCAAAACTAAGGCTAAGGAAATTATGACCCTAATCTGAGGCACCGACCATGTTTTTTCAGTGGTACAGACTGTTTGTGAGAAAACAAAGAGAACACATGAAACATACCAAACACTGCTAACTATTGAGAGCATACTATTTCTTAATAATGTCTGCTTACCTACCCTATTTTTAAATGTATTGTAATTGGAACAACTACAATGGTTAAATAAAGTCTAATTGAAACATTTATTTGAAATGTAATGCTAATTTGGTGCAACGTAGACCAGGAACTGGATCAAATATTCTGCATATGAACCGTTTGCTGCTCAGGACTTGGTATTGTTTTGTTTCTCTCAACATACATTTTTCTACAGCCATTATGGACACAGATATTGATATTTCTACATTTCAGCTTAATTTCTTAATTTTGTTGACACCTCCAACATTGAATCACTTTGTCACTTATAAATGTGGCTGACCTGTGGTTACATGGAACTTAAGGTGAAGTCTCTATGAATACATGGGCACCTACTTGACAACCACTCCTGTCTCACGATTGGACTTGACCCAACACAAGGAATTGTCCATCAAGCGCATTTGATAAAGACAAACCCAATCAATATTTGACTTTCCACCAAAATAAGAAATTTGAACAGGATGGCTGGACAGCACTGAATAAGCTGTACTGGTCCATGGCAAATTTAACTATCTGCATTGGTTCTATAAGGATCCTCTATGTCTATTATCATCTGAGACTGCCAGCAATCTTTACTCATCTAACTAACTACCGTATTCGACGTAATAAGCGCTCAAGGCGCTCTCAAAATTAGAAATAGGGGGCTCTTATTAGAATGGTATTCTGGGGGAAAGTTGAAAGATAAATTTCGTGGTTTATGCTGACAGCCTGAAATGTTTATATATGACAGATATATTTTTCAAGAATTAAATTGCCCATAATTAAGGGTGCATATAACACACGAGTGCGTTTTATACACGAATAAATAAGTCTTGTGTACATTGATCAATCGGAAAAAAAGAAATTCATGAACATGAAACAGACCAGACATGCTAAAACTCCACCAAATCACAACAAGTTTGAAACTGGGACAGTGTTGAAATATGATCCTTCTATGTCGATAACAGTCTAAGGGAGATAATTACTGACTTACTTGTTGTGGCAGTTCAGTAATTAGATACTGAGCAAATTTCTGTAGTTGATCTCTATGAAGACGCGAAAGTGACTCGGACACTGGTGCTCGCAAACATACTGACGTAGCCTAAAAGCGACAACACAAAGACAGGGTTAATTATCATGGTTATGCACACCAAAAACAAACACAGTACAAATTGCATTTAACTGTTTGTTTAAAAAGACAATTTTACCAAAATGACAATGTGCTGTGGAGAAAAAATATTTTGTTTACTAGATAAGCAGTAATGACAGGTATTTACCTTGATGTGGACATAATGAAGATCTTCAAATAAATAACTACTACAAATGGTTATGTTCATATATTACATATCATTAATACATAATGTGGAGTATGATAGTACTGAGTTCATAAACTATGAGTTTTCCATGCTTTTATGCCACTTTATCATATAATTTCATTAGAGATCAAAACAAATTCTGGGAGGTATTGAATCAGAATAACATGGGAAATTGCCAATGGCTGTATTTTGTTTATTTTTCTGTTGCTTGATTTTACCCGAAAATAAATTCTGGTACAAAAATATCATTTTTGCATTATTTTTCCATTATAACAATTTTCTAATTCCAAAACTTTTCCACATCGACGAAACTCAAACAAATATTCCATGACTTTTCAGGACTTCATGAAGTGTATGAACTAGTATCACTAGACTCGTAGACAGTTTAATAGGGTATGTCTCACCTGATGTATACGATATAGACATAATGCCACAATGTGTGAGCACCAGGAGGGACTGCTGTTGCAAGTGCATGTGCATGAAGAGATGCGCCGCCGGTCAAAGACCACGGCAACATTGTAGCTTCCTTTCCCCTGGGTCTGCGTCAGGTTCAGATGGATGACTGTAGCGCTCAGATGGAAGCCTGTAAAAGGATATATTACCATAATCAACAGGCTCCCTTGGGGTGGCCACAGACTGGTAATCTGAGGCTAGGTAGAAACCTGTCACGCTGTCATGCTGTCACGCTGTCACTGCTGCGACATATCAGGGTGTACATGGGGCAAAAAATCAAGTATCAGTGAGTGAGTGAGTTGGGTTTAACACCATGTGAGTGAGTGAGTGAGTGAGTGAGTGAGTGAGTGAGTGAGTGAGTGAGTTTTTATACCACTTTTAGCAATATTCCAGCAATATCAAAGTGGGGGACACCAGAACTGGGCTTAACACCCAGGTCGTCAGTGTGATTAGGTAGGAAAGCCATAATGTTTACGACTTTGGCGAAAATCACGAACGTGGGTATGTTGACGGTTAACCAAGAAACATAATCGGAGCAATCAGGGGGATGAACTCACAATCAGTTTCTGGCACGCCTAACTCTGCACAGAGCATTACAGTACCTTACATGACTGTGCCTCCTGTGCCCCCAGACAAATGATCAAATAAACACTCATCATCAGGATGTGCAGTTTCTCATAATGCTTATTGAAAAAATGTTCCACTCAAAACCATCAGTAAATAATTAATTCAAAATAATCAGATATGTTTTGTTTGTTTGTTTGTTGTTTAACGCCATACTCGGCAATATTCCAGCTATATGATGGCGGTCTGTAAATAATCAAGTCTGGACCAGACAATCCAGTGATTGACATCATGAGCACTGATCCACGAAACTTGGATACGATGACATGCATCAACCAAGTAAGTGAGCCTGACCACCTGATCCCATTAGTCACCTCTTACGACAAACAGTCGCTTTTTACAACAAACGTTGCTAAAGACCTATTCTACCCCGAAATCTTCACGGGTAAATCAGATATATATCACGATGTACAACAAATGATCAAATGTGGTGGATCCAAGGTCTGTGTATGAATTTTAAAGTCAAATGAATGATGAAGAGATAGTGAAGCATGACATATGATGACATGTCAAATTTTTCTTCATTCTACCATGACAAAGTGAATGAGTATTTTCCTCATGTTTGTCATCCCCAAAAGCTGTTACTCCTTGCAAACTTGACTGATAACTCATCAATAAGGTATCTAATACACACATTAATTTAACGACACTAAGCTAGATGAACTTATAGCCAACGACAGTTGCACCACTACTTTAGTAGACAATCCATATTTGTTTACTGTGCCACAAACTGTTTGTACAGGAGTATCATTTGTAACTGAAAATAAGCATATGGCAGCCTGTAAATATCAAGTCTGGACCAGAAAATCCAGTGATTAATATTGTGAGCACAGATCCACGCATTCGGATACAATGACAAGCAATCATCCAAGTCACTGAGCCTGACCATTGGTTGCCTCTTTCGACAAGAATAGGTGGCTGGGGGCCTATTCTGAATCCCCATAAGGTTGGCTTATAAAAAAGCAATGCCACAAAACAGTCTTTAGTATATAACTTACATTAAACTCATAGATGTACATAAATTACAATCACAGGCAGATGTAGAATGTAGGTGGCTGTGACATATATGACACAAACACATTTTTATTTTTTGCTACTGCATAGTGCATTTCTAAAACTTTTACTAAATCAAGGAACTGCATCAGTACCGAACATTTTGTTTGCTGATTTCCTGACAAAAATTTCCTTGAGTCATATTAACATTATTAATAATGTTTCCTCAACTTTACTCTACATTTATGCAGAATGACAGGCTTTTAAACACATGTAAAACATATTTACACATGAGACTTCAAGAATTGAAACAAAAACACTTTTTGCAAGACAAGAATCCACCATATGATATTAAAAACATTTATCTATGGCCAGGTATAATTTATGAATTTCAGCATTCCTTTCTTAAGGAATTATGTTTTGACCTAAAACAACTCTCTTGCACTGATGCATTTTCCAAACTAAAATGATAAACACGAATGAGCTTCAGGACATAAAGTTGAGTATGTTTTCTTCACTCTACAAACCTATCTGCAGAGCGTCCCTGACGGCCTTGCTCTTGTACAGATGCTCTCCCTTGGTGAACTCATCCGCACTGCCATTAGCCAAGCAGGAGTACAGTCTGTGTGAAAACACAAACTCCTTACATCAAATCAATTACATATCACATATCATTTGTTTTCTTACACCCCTGAGGTAACATCTTTCATAAAGATAACAAACCCAAGGGATGATGACTTGTTTGAGCAAAATGTATGTCTGACGGCTAAAGTTTTTGACAGGCATTCTCTGCCAGGGAGGGAATACCTCAGACAATTCTATGTATAAGTAATATCAAGAAATAGCTCATGTATTACATATTTACAGTGACAGAGGCACACAGAAACAGGCCTAAGTTCCTTTCAGCATCTAGTCATAATAACTTGTATTATAATAAACATTAGGATTACATGATTAATCCAGTGTTTGAAAGTCAGGGTGGTCCTGGGTGGGGCCTGTGAGGGCTACTCCCCTGGTATTTGAATCTATGGACCCCCTAAATCTGGACCTGTTCACAATAGGTTATTCAAGGGCCTGATGACTTTCAGGCTTTATTTGACCATTCATGTTCACCTTGTTTCTAATTTTTATGTCATCATCTACCTGAGAATCCTGTAACACAGCTAAAACAACAGCAAACACCTCCTATAGTGACAAGGATTCACCACCATTCAGAAACAACCAATGTTCTGTAACTGAACAGGTGTGACTCAATACAAACCTACTTCAATGCACTACTTTGAGAATCTAGCTTTTAAACATTGAGATGAGAATGAAAAGAATCAGTATGTTTAGATCAATTATCCTGTGCAGTTATGATCACAGTATCAATTTTTCAATGAAAGTCACTACCACATGGCAGAAACAATCAATACTAGCAATCTCCATGTTAAACAGTAGTGTTCCCTTTCGTGTAGCGTTCCTTTTCTTGTAGGCTTCTCTCAACCATGTTAACCATCACGTATCTAGAACACTGATGACTTTACATGCTTTATGTGTGCTTATTTATAACTCATCAAATCAATTCGTTATTCACAAGTCAACGAAGGATGCTTTTGGAACTATGGCAATAAATCAGTAGCACATTTTATTCAATTTGATACATTGGTAGGAAGATTTATAATCCATACACTTTGATAACATTTAAAAAAAATTTAATACTCCCGAATGAACAATAAACAATGATTAACAAATACAACCCTGGGTAATATCAAACTTAAAGACTCTCAATGATATTTATTGATCTGAAATTCAACACGCTTCTTGATTTATGAAACCTGTCATACTAACAAAGCCATTTCTGTGACAATTACCGAATATCCTCTTCATTTTCCGGGAAGCTCCAGAATGCGATGCGCAGCTGCAGCTGTTCAGGAATGGGCTGAGGGAAGTGTTCCACTACTTCAAATGGTATATGACAAGCCACGGCCTGCGCTGCTAGCTCCACCAGTGGAGTCACTTTGCTTTCTGGAAGAAAATAAATGAACAACTGAGACTTTGAAGTGTTTGTTGATATAGGTGGTCTACAATAATGGTTTCTAAATGTCACCACACATGCTTGCTGCTATCATGCCTATTGTGCAACACTAATGCACCAAAGCAGCTTCAGTGATACAAGCTGGGGGAAATGAGTTCATTAGGTACATTTCACATTTTTGCAAAAAAGCAAATACTGCCATTTAAGACTTACTTATATTCATGAAATAAGTTGTGTTTGGTTGTGGAGTATATAATCTTACAACTGTACCATCACCTTCAAACATTTCAATTGCTTTTGAGAAGGGTTTATGTGGTACTGTTAATCGCTTGATGAAACCCATGATCAAGGGCATAGTGCTGACCCAAAAAATGAAAATAAGGGTTAACCTTGAAGTTCCACCTCTGAGTGAAGGATCCTGATATAGCTAAAGGATGCAACGCTGCACATCTGCCTATGGTATACCTTATCCCCCATGTTCTTATCCCCTGACAGTGAATTGTAAAACAGACGAAATGGACAACAGCTGGGATAGAACAAGTTTCAGTGATACATGTCCATTGTGAAAATGTTATAAACCCAACATGCCACATCACTTCCAGGAATGCACAAAACCTCTCATCACACATGGCGTAATTGTTCCTAATTTATCATGCACTATCAACATGTTCTAAAAACCTATTCGTAAGTCAATAAATCATGTTGTTCAAACCAACTGCTGGCTGTGGAAGAAGGACAAGTGGTTTTCACCTTGAAAGCTGCAGAATAAAACTGAGTCATATCTCATATCATAAGTGTTCAAACCGTAAAAAATTCAGTATTGATCATTGATTTGAAAACCCAATTGATTATCAATCAAAAATGAGAACAAAAAAAACTAAAATTCAAAGCATTCTTTCTCAGTTTTCTTTAGCATGTTTAGGGAAACAAAAAGAACAAATATTTACATTGTTATGAGAATTTATATATTTTAGTTTGTGCATATTCTATAAGCTTCCCTGCTAATTTCACAATTAATATTATGCTTTATGCATGTTGCTATTTTTATTTGTCAAAATTCCATTTTCTATTCCTGTACATTCCAAATTTACATATTAATACTTACTTATGTTTGCCATTTCTGAATATTTTTCAATTCCATTTTCATTTCCAGTACGTTCCAAAATTTTGGAATACTTTACACACATTTGCAACTTTTTTATCATTGCTTTTCATCTACTTATTTCATGCATATATAACCTGTAGATTCTCATCACTTAGTGTTTTAAATGTACTAAACATCATATTTTATATTTTTTGGTTTTGCAACAATCCCATAATTCTCTCTGTATTTCATGCATGTGCAGTCAAACGGAAGTGACTTTCTTTTCATTAACCAATTCAATTCCTTTGTTCTTGCTTCTTCAAATTCTAATTACCCGTCTCTATCCCCTACTCAACCCCCCCCCCCCCCCCCCCCCCCCCCCCCCGATTCACCGACTTACTCCTGCTGGGTTCGATTCTTCACCCATATATGTACCTATGCTTACTTAGCCAGCTGGGTTAGATTCTTCACCCATATGTCCCTATGCTTAATTAGCCTGCTGGGTTAGATTCTTCACCCATATATGTCCCTATGCTTACTTAGCCTGCTGGGTTCAATTCTTCACCCATATGTCCCTATGCTTAATTAGCCTGCTGGGTTAGATTCTTCACCCATATATGTCCCTATGCTTACTTAGCCAGCTGGGTTCGATTCTTCACCCATATATGTCCCTATGCTTACTTAGCCAGCTGGGTTCGATTCTTCACCCATATATGTCCCTATGTTTACTTAGCCAGCTGGGTTCGATTCTTCACCCATATATATCCCTATGCTTACTTAGCCTGCTGGGTTCGATTCTTCACCCATATATATCCCTATGCTTACTTAGCCAGCTGGGTTCGATTCTTCACCCATATGTCCCTATGCTTACTTAGCCTGCTGGGTTCGATTCTTCACCAATATGTCCCTATGCTTAATTAGCCTGCTGGGTTAGATTCTTCACCCATATATGTCCCTATGCTTACTTAGCCAGCTGGGTTCGATTCTTCACCCATATGTCCCTATGCTTACTTAGCCTGCTGGGTTAGATTCTTCACCCATATATGTCCCTATGCTTACTTAGCCAGCTGGGTTCGATTCTTCACCCATATGATATATATCCCTATGCTCACTCAGCCTGCTGGGTTCGATTCTTCACCCATATATATCCCCATGCTTACTTAGCCTGCTGGGTTCGATTCTTCACCCATATATGTCCCTATGCTTACTTAGCCTGCTGGGCTTGATTCTTCACCCATATATATCCCTATGCTTACTTAGCCAGCTGGGTTCTATTCTTCACCCATATATGTCCCTATGCTTACTTAGCCAGATGGGTTCTATTCTTCACCCATATATGTCCCTATGCTTACTTAGCCAGCTGGGTTCGATTCTTCACCGATATATGTCCCTATGTTTACTTAGCCAGCTGGGTTCAATTCTTCACCCATATATATCCCTATGCTTACTTAGCCTGCTGGGTTCTATTCTTCACCCATATATGTCCCTATGCTTACTTAGCCAGCTGGGTTCGATTCTTCACCGATATATGTCCCTATGTTTACTTAGCCAGCTGGGCTTGATTCTTCACCCATATATATCCCTATGCTTACTTAGCCAGCTGGGTTCGATTCTTCACCGATATATGTCCCTATGTTTACTTAGCCAGCTGGGCTTGATTCTTCACCCATATATGTCCCTATGCTTACTTAGCCAGCTGGGTTCGATTCTTCACCCATATATGTCCCTATGCTTACTTAGCCAGCTGGGTTCGATTCTTCACCCATATATGTCCCTATGTTTACTTAGCCAGCTGGGTTCGATTCTTCACCCATATATATCCCTATGCTTACTTAGCCTGCTGGGTTAGATTCTTCACCCATATATATCCCTATGCTTACTTAGCCAGCTGGGTTCGATTCTTCACCCATCATTATATCCTATGCAACAACCGAGCCAGTCCCCAATATTATGCCAATATTGTAGTTATGTATATATCATGTACATATTATCATGTATATATTAAAATGTTTTTAGTAATATTCCCTCATGTTGTTTCTGCACAAATCCTTGGTTAAAGCACAGCTCAACATATGAATCATGCTTAAGCCTTTGATTATGATCCAATGGGCTTTCTTTATTTGGTCATGTGTAGTGTAGTACGATCATATCCTGACAGTGTACTCCAAGTAGAAAGTGAAAAAAAGCACTTTGTGTGGACTGTTCACAATATACATTGCTTTTTGTGGAACTGGAGTATTTGGCCCTCTCTAACAGGTCTAAGACAGATGACTCATGACAATATTTTATCCCGAAATACAGGAACAGTTGCAAGCACACTCAGGATCAGCATTGTCTCACCACCTTTATTCCTGAAAAGGTACTTATATATCCCGATAAGGTACTGTCGCTCATTCTCTATCTATTACTTGGAAACTGAAGCTAACAATCATCAACAAATTGACTAATTTGAACAACACAACAAGGTACACAATGGTGGTAGATAGCCTATCTAGGTGGTGATAATACCCTACTGCCACAAGGGCCCTTCAGACCTTCGGCATCCTATGAACACCTATTACTGTGCTTTGAACTGTACTCATGTTGTCATGACAGAAGTGACTTTATGACTTCCATTTGTTAATTGGATCACAAATACTCTGTCTGGATTTCTCTTTACTATCTCTCGCAATACAACAACAGTTTTAGAAAACTAGATCGTAATAAGAAATCAGGAAGAACTTTCAAATGCTACTAAAACGAGATGTATTTAAAAAAAATAATTGCGTCTTCAAAAGTCTATAATTTTGGAATATAAGATATCAAAAATAAAAACCCGAGACACTGATAAACCAGTGTTATCATATGATTAATATCTACACATCAAGCTAACAAGTATGGGAACTTTTTCTGCTGATGATAACATATATTATATAAGTTAAATGAGAAAATATGGGACATTATTATCAAGCACCCTGTCTGCACCATCGCTAGTCCCATTACTGGTCCTAATCCCAATCTAGTCTCGGGCATGAGTGCTTTGCCACCCAACATTTTATGTTGTTTGTTTTTTGTTTAACGCCGCACTCAGCGATATTACAACGATCCAGTGATTGACATCATGAGCATCGATCCACGCAATTGGGACCGAAGACGTGCATCAACCAAGTCAGTATGTCTGACCACCCGATCCCATTAGTCGTCTCTTACGACAAGCATAGTAGCCTTTTATGGCAAGCATGGGTTGCCGAAGACCTATTCTATTCCGGATCTTCACGGGTCCTAACATTTAAGGTTGGAGGCTAGAACATCTTTAATTTACATCATTCCATTATGAGAAATAATGTGGACCTAACTGCTACCACATCTTCCTTTGGGATGTGACTTAACCATCTCTATTTATCTATGCTATCAACAATTCCACAGCTGAATTTCTCTCGCACATGGGTGCAATTTGATTGGATGACTATTTATGACACTGTGCCATTCGAATCAGCCTCAAAATCAACTGATGGAAACAAATGGGTCAAGGATATTTATAACAGAATGGAGACATTATAACCTGGATAATTGAGGACAAGACAAGAAAAGACCAAGAAAAGACAAAGTTCATGTCTTCCATCTATGAAATTTCAACCCTTACAGAAATCATTTTCTTTGCCAGTAGACATAGTAGAGTTTGCAGCCCATTGATGCTTATTGTTTGGGATTCAAATCATAAATCCTCTGACCCTTGCATGACCAAGGGACAATACTCTTCATGAACCATTGTACGAAATAGGTATGCTCTTTTAATAGAAAGAGTGTCTCTGGGTACAATATCACCAAGGATTGTCGTATCGTATCTACTTACAAAAGCCTTACAAAATGTACAATACAATTGTCACAGCAATGTGCAAGGGGGCTGAGGAACATTCAATACGGAAA